AAAATAACTGCCTTTTTGTGTATGTTTTTCATAGAAAACGCAAATTCATGTTTTCAAACTGGCAGTTAAAGGGTTAAAATCCTGAACACAAGTTAACATTTGGTATTTTTTATCAGGACTGAAGTTGATTGAAAGATTTAACCCCAAAAAGTAAAAAAAAATATTAATCTGTTGTCATTTTAGAACAGTTTTTGGAAGTGGACATTTTTGTCCCGAATGACTAATTTGTGACTTTTTTGTTCAATCTGAATTTGTGCAAAAACTAATGATGCAAAAAAATCCATTTTGTTGCTAATCTTTGACATATCCAAGACTGTTATAAAAAAAAGAGCCAGTCCCCAGATATGTATTTTTTGGAAAATAACTCATTTTCTCTGTTTTCATCATGAAAAAAAACAGCGGTTTCATGTATTCAAAATGGCATTGAAAGGGTTAAAATCCTGAAAATGATTACATTTTTGGTATTGTCTATTAGGGAAGTTGCTTTAAAGATTGATCCCAAAAAACTTGTGAAAAAAAACTTTTAATATAATGTTTCTATCAAAGTATTTTGCAGTGGACATTTTTGTCTCGAATGACTAACTTGTGTAGTCCAATCGAATAATACCGGAGGGTTAAATGAATTGTTTGTTTAGTAGAAATGATTCCACACAGCCAACAAAATCCTTGACACTACTGCTGTGGATCATTAAAGAAAAATGGCTGAATAGTGGGATACATTCACATAGCATTACATTAGTAAGACTATTTAGATCAGGGGTGTCAAACTCAATTTAATCGCAGGCCACATCAGCATTATGGCTGCACTCAAAGGGCCGGTTGTAACTTTAAGACTATATAAAAATACATATATCAATATATATATAAAATAATGTATTATATTACATGATTGCCTCTTGGATTATTATCAGATAGGGTAATAACTTCATAATTAATACGTCTGAAGGCAGAATTCTGGGGCAAATAATTGCAAGTCAGTGAGAATGTCACAAAATGATTTAAAAAGAAAAGCCAAATTCTGAAAAAATAAAAAAGTCAAAATAAAAAAAAGAAGTGACATTTGAAAAAAGGAAGTGACATTTTGAAAAAAGGAAGTGACATTTTAAAAAAGGAAGTGACATTTTGAAAAAAGGAAGTGACATTTTGAAAAAAGGAAGTGACATTTTGAAAAAAGGAAGTGACATTTTGAAAAAAAGTAACATTTAAAAACAAAGAGTCATGGGCAACGTGCTTCTGTAAATCATTATGTAACCGTATAATAAACATAATATTCTTTGCAAGCTCTTCAGGCCACAGAAAATGAAGTCACGGGCCGGATTTGGCCCCTGGGCCTTGAGTTTGACACCCCTGATTTAAAGATATTAGCTCAATCTCTGACAAATCATGTTTTATTATGTCTGTCATTTTGGCATGCTGATGGCTGATTCATGATGCAAATTATAATATAATTTTCTCAACAGCATTACATTACATGTTACTTGTTAGACGCTTTTATCCAAAGGGACTTACATACTCAATACTGTGGAAAATCCCCACAGGAGCAATTTGGTGTGAAGTGTCTTGCCCAGGGACACAACGACATGCTGACCCCCTGATCCGAACACCTACGGACAACCCACTACGCCACACGCCACCCCACAGCATAATATTTAGCGTTTGCAGAACAACAGTATTTTTAAGCTGAGTTGATTGGAAAATGCAGCTTGGGAGTCATAGTAAGTCTCTCCCCTGTACATACATGATTTATGACTGATGAGTCCCATGCCAACCCAATTTGTGAAAGAGTCACAAAGTCACATAACAATGTCATTGGACAAATGAATGGTTAACACCACTATTGCCGTTTTTGGAACTGCAGTAGCCAATAAAAAGTGTATGCGTCAGTAATTTGGTATGTCGACATCAGATGTGCAACTGTAGTACTGCAGGATGTGCCCATTAAACTGAGGCTACATTTGTTCTAGCTGCTCAAACAGGGGTTACTAGAAGTCAAACACATCGTTTAAGCAATCAGACAGACACATGTTTTCGTATCCATAACGCTACAGAAAGAGGTCAAGGTGAAAGTCATGGTTCGGCTGAAGTCTTTGTCACAAAAGGACATTAGAGCTGGGATCCCTTTTCCCTCCCAGCTGTTTCCAGTGCTTGCCACCCTCCCCCTTAACACAATAGTATCTGCACAAGAGAAAACGTTTTTGCCCTTGATGACTTTACCAGCTTGGGCAGCCATGGGACTTGGGGAGGCCAGGCAGATAGGAAATGCAATTAGAATTCACAGTAAAGAAGGAACATTAGCAGTAACAGACAAAAGAGGTCACAGTCCTGCAACCCCAGGTGAGGAAGGCGGTCGTAATCATAAGCACCCGTTCCCTTTCCTGCATCAGGAGGGGAGGGTGGTGGCTGGGCATGTTGCGTCATCAATGGCCCCTAGTCTAGGTGGTGATCTGTGCTGTCCACATATTGAGGGTCAAGACCCCGAAAGAAAAAAACAGTGTTAAGATTAATAATTTGTCATTTAGCCTCAAACTGATCATCGATAATCGTGATCCGAGTGTGGCCTCAATGACGTACTTAAAAAGTCGGAAGGTATGAGAAGACCCAAAAAGGCTATTAGATAGTGTCCAGTTTATATGCAGATAACAAAACAAAAAAATCACACTGCATCTTTTTTTATTAATCACACTAATAATTTGACTGTGGGGTTCTTTTTCAGCTTTAAAACAAGTGAAGGGCCTCTCTTCTACACCGTCTGATCTGTGTTGTTTAATCTGTGTTACGCTTAAGCATGAGTCATTTCATATAGTTAACCCAGTACAAGCTTAAAATAATTCGGACCAAAGTTTAACTTCACGAGATTTATACATTTTACATTTGAAGAACCATAACAATTATTAGCACTTATTAAAACAATCTTATTTACCACTGGATGTATTTTTGTGTGTTTGTTTTGTAATTTTTTATATTTTTGTAATGTTGTCTTTGGTTTTGTTGTAGTAAACCGCTTAGGCTTCTAAAATAAATGAGGGACTGGGTGCTGTCCGGAGCAGCAAAACAAAACAAGTAGTTAGAAAGCCCATCCCATTTCACTCTAGGTCGTAAATCAAAACAACAATAAAATAGGTTCCAGGGGGTTGTAAGATCTACAAAACAGCTGGGAAAAAAGGTGGGAAAGTTCATGTTGCTGTTCAAATTCTGTTTAAGTATATGACTTGTTTCAAAAGTTCAGCATTTTTAATCCATCATACAGGATATAGTTGTGCTGAGTACAACAAATTGACAAAAATAATGTTATTGTAATCATTGTCCTCTGTGTAACTTAAAACAATAGCATTCCCAATGGGAATACAGGGAATAAAGAAATGCCAGGATTTCGACATAAAAATGCATTGAGATGACAGGAAGCATGTTTGCACAGACCAGCATCATCATGATCATTTTCCAGTGAAGTCGCGTCCTGTGTCTCAGTGAGTGTAATAAAGCAACTCCCAAAAGCATCGAACCAGTTGACCTTTAATATCCTCGCAGCAACCCCTGCAGTAAACCGCACAACACAAATGTGGAAAAACACTTTATGTTAAACAAAGGATATCCTTTAGACGGAAAAGAGCTCTCCCTTTGCGCAAGTCTAAGTGCTGTATTTATTAATTGGCGCCAAACACAATACACTCATGGTTCTTGAATTTAAAGTACGCTCTGATCCTTTCGCAATCCAACAAACAGGATGTTTGTGTGGCTTCATGATGGTTTGTTTCCATGCTCCATGGTTATGTTGTACAGGTCCAAAGGTTTGTAAACTTCAATTTAACAAATGTTATGATCCATATCAATGGAAAGGGCCATTTATATCTCACTAAAGTAATTATTTTTTCGTATTTATTGGTATCTGTCTCTTTTTCTCAGAAACTAAGCAAATATAAAAAATACAATTTGTCCTTTTCACTGTTTCAAGAGTTGTTTGGGGAAAATGCCAGAGCACTCATCAGACACTATGACAAGCTTCATCCATGTATTATTTTATAAGAGATATATTAAGATTATATTTAGGCTATGGATATCCGTGTTCTCTACCGTTAAGTTGTGGCACATTGTTTTTAACAGCAACATGTATACAAAAGTGTTTCCAAAAGTTCCTCCCATCCTTCTCAGCTGGCCTGTTGACAGGCTGTCAGGTAAACATAAGCATGCTGCAGGGATTAAATATTACTGTGCCAGTAAATCTTGCATGAAACATTCCAGGAGTGGTCGGGGAGTTCTTTGTACATAATTAGCAACACAATAGGTGACTAGGTGACGCACACACAGGGACAAGTGATTGTTTCCGGGTCTGCATTTGATAATATCTTGAATAGCTTGTTTATAAAGACAAGGCGGGCACAGTTGATTTGCTTACCTTTAAACAAATCCTTTATTTTATGTATTTACATTTTAGAAATATAACATGTGCTTTTTCTCTGTGAGGTATACACACACACACACACACACACACACACACACACACACACAACACACACACACACACACACACACACACACACACCACACACACACACACACACACACACACACACACACAGACACACACACACACACCCACACACACACACACACACACACCACACACACACACACACACACACACACACACACACACACACACCACACACACACATCACACACCACACACACACACACACACACACCACACACACACACACACACACACACCACACACACACACCACTACACACACACACACACACACACACAGCCACACACACACACACACACACACACACACACACACACACACACACACACACACACACACACACACACACACACACACACACACACACACACCACACACACACACACACACACACAACACACACACACACACACACACACACACACACCACATTTTACATACAAAAGTGCAAGAGTTATTCAAAATACTTTTCAAAATACATATTGAAGTACAAATTGTCACAAACACTGTATAATATATGGTACATTTATTGATATAAAATATGCACTCAATATGAGAAGCTTGCATTTAGCTGTGTATAATAGAATAATAGATGCATTGGGAGATATATCTCTTTTTTTTGTTTTCCCCATTAAGATGGACTAACCCATTATTCTGGAGAGAGCTTGTTTTTCCCTGGAAAAAGGAAGAAAAAGGAAAGAAAGAAAAAGTTATAGCATGAATTTTAGATGTGAAGCTGATGATTCCTTTTATTATTTTGTACTGTGTAGCCGTGATTTCCATCACATCCTACAGCTTAAGACATTTATTATACTCACTCTGGTTCAGAGGGGTTGATGATGCGCTGCAGATCCCTCAGGTGCTGAGCAACAGTTACTGTTGGATAAACATAAAGTGTCATTAGCCATCAATTGAGCTGAACTAAAGCTTTACAATACACAAATGCTAACAGTTAGCACTGAGATCTACAAAGGCTACAAACATCCAGCTATGCATTGTAAGTTTGATGAGGAATTATAATGGAGATTGTTCAAATAGATAAATAGATACTTTGAATTATAATGGATGCTTGCAAGATGATACTCATGACGTTTGTTTGAAAAGGACCAGTTCACCCAAAATATCCATCTATTTACAGATTAGCAGGGGCATGCATTGTGACAGAATGTAATTTTTTTAAACTGGATGAATTGTACCTGAACTTAAAATTATTTTATAGTAATAATAATAATAATAATAATAATAATAAACTGCAAACATATATTCTTACTTGAGCCACCTCCCAGTCCACTCGTTCTTCCTGCACCAGAGGACGATCCAAGTCCAGTATTACTATTCCCAGTTGATGGTCCTTTTCCTGTTGCACTTCCTGTCTTACTTTGCCCAAGCCAACTAAATCCAGAACTTTTGCTCGTGGATCCAGTCGACCCAGAGGACGAACTAGAAGAGCCGGTACCAGTTGATGCCGGCTTATTGAATGCTGACCAAATGGAGCTACTTGACCCTGATGATGAACTTGAAGAGCCGGTACCAGTTGATGCCGGCTTATTGGATGCTGACCCAATGGAGCTACTTGACCCTGATGATGAACTTGAAGAGCCGGTACCAGTTGATGCCGGCTTATTGGATGCTGACCCAATGGAGCTACTTGACCCTGATGATGAACTTGAAGAGCCGGTACCAGTTGATGCCGGCTTATTGAATGCTGACCAAATGGAGCTACTTGACCCTGATGATGAACTTGAAGAGCCGGTACCAGTTGATGCCGGCTTATTGGATGCTGACCCAATGGAGCTACTTGACCCTGATGATGAACTTGAAGAGCCGGTACCAGTTGATGCCGGCTTATTGGATGCTGACCAAATGGAGCTACTTGACCCTGATGATGAACTTGAAGAGCCGGTACCAGTTGATGCCGGCTTATTGATTGCTGACCCAATGGAGCTACTTGACCCTGATGATGAACGTGAAGAGCCGGTACCAGTTGATGCCGGCTTATTGATTGCTGACCCAATGGAGCTACTTGACCCTAATGATGAACGTGAAGAGCTGGTACCAGTTGATGCCGGCTTATTGGATGCTGACCCAATGGAGCTACTTAACCCTAATGATGAACGTGAAGAGCTGGTACCAGTTGATGCCAGCTTATTGGATGCTGACCCAATGGAGCTACTTAACCCTAATGATGAACGTGAAGAGCCGGTACCAGTTGATACCGGCTTATTCAGCCCATATGACGCAATCTTCGAAGCCAATACACCTGCCCCAGTCCCATAGGATGAGCCACCGGGAAGTCCACTTAATCCTGTCTGAAATAAAATAAGTAAAATTGATGTTAATAAGGTGTTATTGAGGTTATGGCTTTTTAGGTTTTCAAGCATTTGTTTTAGAAGTATTGACAACATGCAATGAAAACAAACTATTGAATCATTGAATTGACTACATGATTATATTAAATTACATTTTCAGTTTAAGACTCAAACTTCTGGTTTAAAGAACGTCATAGAGATTCATATTTCAGGTTCTTAATTTGTTCTCAAACAAATAAATATCTGTTCCAGCCTTATGCTCTTTTCTATTTGAATGACAGACCATTTCCCTCCCACACTTCCTCCTCTTCATACAAAGCTGGTGCATTCGCAAAAACAAGTCAGGCTGCGTTTATCGAATGCATCTTATGCACGTTAAGCACTCAAAGACTCAGCTTTGTTAGCAATTTAGTATAGTTCTAAAGGATTTGAATGTGGAAATATGTCTTCAGATACTGCAGAGATAGAGAGTTTTGGACAAAATGACCTAATAGCTGCAGAAACGTATGCATGTCATTACATATAATAAGGGTTTTAGTTAAAGTCAACAACTATGCAATGCGATTATAACCCGTATAGTATATACTACATTGTGCAATTCATTTATGAATATCCAATGGAATTCCAAGTGTATTTAATCCGCTGATTACAGCGGGCAGTTAACTTCCTGATTGTCTCACATTTTCACAGGGTTTTACTATTGTTTCTTGTGATGTGGAAAACATTTGATTATTTAAATATTGATTCATATGACAGCTACTTGTGCTGAAGGAAGAATGCAAAAGCAAGGCCCGCTTGTGATCCTGAGAGGTCATGCTACTTTTAACACTCCTGAAAAAAATAACAGTTTATGTAATCAGTGATGGCACTTTCTTTTTCTTACCTTAGACACGCATGACATATTGAGCTGCCTATTTTGCTCTGTCAGGTGATCATTCACTCTACTTGTATACTTCACAAGGTTGTTCAAGACTTCTATATCTCCATGAAGCCTCAATTTGTCCATCAGGAGTTCCTCCTTTTCCTCATCGTGTTTCTGCTGCAGCTTGTCTAAGTTCTGCTTGTGCTCCCGGATCAGACCTGTGCGGTTTGTGCTGCACCTGCGGTAGTCGTCAGACAGTAGCGTGTTCTCTGCCTTCAAGCGGCTACTCTCAGCCTGGATGTTTGACACTTTTTCTCCCACACTATTCAGGTAACGCTGGAACCTGTCCTCCACTTCCATGGACAGGCTGGTGCAATTGGTGCGGATCTGCTCCAGGTGTTCCCTCTGTTTCGGACAGGTGAGCTGGAAGGCGATGTGTGAAGGGAAAAGGGAGTCAATCTTCTCCAGGAAAGACTTGGAGACATTGGAGATACCGCTCAAGGACTGGGAAAAGTCATCTTTGCATTTTTGTCTAAAGAAATTAACTTCCTTTTCATGAGAGGATTTTTCCCTCCGCAGATGGATGGCCTCCAAGTTAATGTTGTCCCTCTCTTTGACAGTCTGGTCCATTTCCCTTCTCATTCTCTGGATTGTTTGTGTGAAGTTGGACTCCACAAGTTGCAGCCTGGCATGTAGCTGTTCACTCGGACCACAGTTACCTAGACGATTCACTGCTCAGAAAAAAAACAATAAGAGCAAAAGGGAAAAGATATAGATACAGTTAATAATTATTAGGTTGTTTTTTGGTTCGAACTAAAGACATGTCATACTTACTAGTTGTTGGGATTCTGCTCTTGCAAACAAACAACTCGGCAAGGCAATGTTGCTGTTTATAGGAATGTTGAAAAGACAGTATTTTAGGGATTTGCTTTGACAGTTGTGAAATGGAAAGAAACAGGGAAAACTATTGATCTTTTACAATAATCAAAATTACAACTTTAACAATGTCATAGACATGCTCAGACATTTAAAAGTATAATGCTTATTTTTCAACTTATCATTTTAATAAATATATACATTTTACAATCCTATTTGTTGAAAAAAATAATTGTATCTAATAAGCTCAACTTGACTCAAGCATTGCATTAAACCCACAAACATATATAACCACCTTAATTTCTATGGCTAGGAGTTTAATTCCATAAGATAGTGGTCTTTAAGTATAGTCACTTAAATACAAAAAGTAATACTACAGGAATGTATATGTTGGATAAAGAAAAAAAGCTTAATAGGTTACTCACCTGCTTCTTCTCCATTTCTTGGATAAGAATCGATGAGATGTTGGCATAGTAGCGGTGTTCAGCCAGGTCCCAGTCATTGCGAGCCTTCTCAATCAGGGTGGTGTTGAGCAAACTGGTCAAGTTCTTCCTCTGCCCCTTCAGGATGACGTTCTCTATGGAGAGTCGGCTAAAGCTCTCCTCCAGGTCTTGGATGCGAGACGTGGATGGCGAGTCCTGCGTCTTACCATAGACCAGAAAGAGCACGAGGCTGACTATGATAAGAGACTGAATGAGCGAAGAGAAGAAGAAGACAATGCGCATGTAGTAGCCGCAGCTCTTGCCCTTGCCCTTTGAGCGGTACTGCAACTTCTTCTGGCTCGCCGGGCTGCCCCTGGAGACCTGGGAGTAGCCACTGCTGTACATGATGGCCAAAGAATGGTCTCAAAAAAGAGGTAAAGCTTGAGGATTACTATGAGTGTCCAGCCAAGTTCAAACAAGAGTCATCTCTAAATCAAAAAGAAAAACTAGTTCCTCCTAAGCACTCAGAGCAAGCCAAATTAATTAATAATAAAAAGCTGAATTATTTCAGACCAGCTTGTGGATTTTACAGTCTCTTAAATTCTGCGCCCCTTCCTCTAACAAAGCCAAACACACTACAGACGTTTCCTTTCAGCAGTGTTGATCGCATGAGAATTTATCAGATTGTGAGTGAGGTGTAAACATGGGTCTGAATTTATAAACTTCTCTGGCCACACACTTCCCATGATGGGAACCTGGCCTCTGTCCCCTCCCTCCCTCCATCTCCCTGCCCCTCCCTGTGCAGAGATTATCAGCACACACAGACTGCCAAGCATATGTTTTTTTGTTGAATACATTTCATAGTTGAAAATGTTCCTAGATAAAAACTGAATAAAAAGCTATTTCATGACCATTTAATGTTGAGCAAATTAGAATATACCTTTAAAGCAGGGGTGGGGAACCTCCGGCCCCCGTGCCGTATACGGCCCGCGAGACAATTCGATACGGCCCTCGAGGTAACTCACGCAAAAAAGAAAAAAAAATTAAGAAATCTAGACCACAAAAGAATTAAACAAGCGAGTGCCTGTTTTTCCTGGCCAAGGTCAGGGTCCTTGAACACAACACGAGCCTAACGTGTCATCACGTGGTATATGTCTCGTCCGACAGGGGTTTAGAGCTGCCGGAGAGCACCAGGACGTCGCTCCGGGCCGGGACTTCACAAATGTCAGTACCCATAAGGAGCCGTACACATGCCGCAGTTTTTTGCGTGGCTGTGTCTTTAGTTGAAAGCCCAGTGGCGATCTGCTCATCTGTCATTCTGATCATACAGTCAATAACTTTGTTGTTATTAGCATCTGGTTAGCTAGCTATGCTAACGAATATAAGAAGCTTTTTCTCCAACCAGTGAGGTAAAGGCACATCTTTATATGATCATTATAGTTATACAAAAAATAAGAGAATACAGTAAACAGGTATAAAATACTATATGAGAGTAAAAAAAAGTTGTTATTAATAAACAAGAATACAGTTTGAAAGGAGAGTGATTTGTAAAATATCCATAAAGAAAAAGAACATCTGCTTACTGTTCTGTTTCATATGGGTGTTGAGAGATGTATCCATAGATCTCTTAATGTTGCTCTCAAAGTGCACCAGATTGATGCTTTTAACATTCAACATTTAAATAAAAAAAATCTTAGGTTAGGTCCCCGCCCCCCCCCCCCACTTAAATCATATTCACATGGATAGGAAACTAAATTGCACACATCTTGTGTCCATATATTTCTGTTTTGGTGGTCATGCCACAACCATGCATGTGCGTGCATGCATGCGCGTGCATGCATGCGCGAGTCATGGTAAAATATCTGGATTAAGAGGTTGCTTTTTCTTTACACAGCAAGAAAGAAAGGCGAAATGAATGGGCTGTGATTTTAGTATTTTTAAGCAGAGGTCAATAATTTGTACGGCCCTCGGAGGATGTTGAAAAAGTTGAAATGGCCCTTGAGAGGAAAAAGGTTCCCCACCCCTGCTTTAAAGTGAGAAGGAGAAATGTACATCTTCAAGTAGTTGTAATAAATTCACATTGTGATATTAACATGACTTTCTATAGCGAAACTCGACAGGCCATAAAGTCTTCACCGGACTCGCTGCGCTAATCTTTTTTATGGGATAATGAACATTGTTTTCCGTTGCAAAGCAGGCAGGACAATGGCTTATGTTGTTCTTATAATGTTCTAGGGCAGGGGCTCTTTGATGCCCGAGTCTCAGTCCAACATGATGACGTGGGTAAGCTGCCCTCTGTCTCACAGGACAGACAGACACACACACACGCACGCACGCACACAAAGAGACACAAACCAATTGAAAATGAACTACAAGAGCCTGACACTAACGGTCACAACTTTTTCCTGCCCCGCATTGTTGACGTGCCAGCCACCTATTTGACAGGAAGCAGTAATTCATTGGAAAGAGGAACTACGGATGGTCAAAGCTCCATCAACTTTTTGGAGAGATCCTAGATAAAAGGCTCCAAGAAACGCAGGATATCAGACACAAATACAAGAAATAAACACTCCTTTTGTTTATTTAATTGATGATGAAGTGGGTTGTTTTTATCGTCATTTGTGAACACTAGCTATGGAATTCTTTTTTTGGTATTTACATTTTGTAAGTAGTAATGGGATGTTGCCAAACTGAATGGCTCAGCTCTCCGCACTTAATTTAGTAAGAGAGGCTTATTGCATAATTCATACACCTCACCAGGGGTTACATTGTGCCGGGGCTGTCCGGGACTCAGCCCCGGCACATAGGACGATGCTCTGACGTCATCACCCTTACTCATTTGTCATTTGTTTAAGCCATATGTTAAAACATCTCTCGTTCTTAATATATACTTTATTTAGGGTCGATATGTGTTGACAAGATATAGTTTTTCCGCTTAGTGAACTTGTCTCTGCTCCGATCAGGAGCTGCAGCACCGCGGCTCCTTCGTGGAGAGAGTCTGCAGCGGTGTGTGTGTGTGTGTGTGTGTGTGTGTGTGTGTGTGTGTGTGTGTGTGTGTGTGTGTGTGTGTGTGTGTGTGTGTGTGTGTGTGTGTGTGTGTGTGTGCGCAGAGAGTCTGCAGCGGTACCGCCAAACCCCCGACCCGTCTTGTAAACACGGAGCCCGTTTCCTACACCATCAGGGCTGGTTCTAACCAATTTGCTGCCCTAGGTGAGATTTTAGCTGGCGCCCCCCCCCCCCCCCCCCCTGCCAGAAAATCATTCAATAGACAAGATAAAAGTATCCAAGGAATAAACAATAGAATATATAAACAGTAAATGAAAAATCTCTACGAAAGACCAATACACTACAAAAACAGAAACGTATTGACATGTTGGTAATCAGAGATGGGGTCATTACTAAAAAAAAGTAATATATTACATATTACATAAAAAGTAATATATTACACTACTTCGTTACTCTCTACATAAAGTAACTCGTTACTTTACTCGCAGGGCCGGCCCGCCCCTACAGGCAGATCACGCAGACTGCGGCGCACCTACAGTGTAAGCGCGCCACAGTTTTGCCTCTGTGAGACTCCACTTGCACCCCCAATTACTATTGCATTAAGGAAGACATAACATAAGTCTTTATATGCTCTAAAATAGGCTACCAGCCTACCACAACAAGCTAACAGTCTGTGAAACGTAAATACACTAATTAATTAAACCAGTTCAAGACGCATTATTCTTATCATTCTTTACGAGCGCATAACGGTAAGGTATCTAATTACTTATTTATTTAGTATTCCATAACTTAGTAACAGAGATGGTCAAACTAAAGTGGTAGAGACAGAATTCCTACAATGAAGCGGGACATTGAACTGTTCACCCGTGAGAGGGCGATCAACAAAAGAGAGCGAGCGGCCCCGTTGAGGGAGTTTACAGATGAAAAGACTCAGCCATGTTTATGCAGCACTGCACGTGGAGATGTGGTCTCGCAAATCGCGCAGATTACGTAGGCCTACATGTATATAAACCGATATAAACCTGCGGCGGAAACCCCTCTTGTCTGTCAGTGAGTGTGATTATTTTATAAAAGTAACGAAGTAACGCGTGTCGGGGCAATGTTAGTAACTGTAGTGTGATTACTGAATTATAAAAGTAACGCGCTACACTACTCCGTTACCGACATAAGTAATAGTATTACAGTAATGCGTTACTTTGTAACGCGTTACACCCAACTCTGTTGGTAATATACATCAAAAAGGCTTCAAATGTATTCAGTATTGTATGAACATGTTTTAATTGGGGTGGACGTCACATCCTCTAGGGGGATCCGGGGGTATGCCCCCCTGGGAAGAAATGTTTGAAAATGTAAAGTAAAATGCTTCAATCTGGTGCACTTTAAGCACACATTACTAGAGACTAGATTTTAGGGGGTACAACGCTAAACACCCATATGAAAAAGATCGGTTTACATTTTAATAACCAAAGATGTGAACATAACCAATAACCTACCATAGCCAATAACAAATAAATTCATTCATATCTTATTTTACCTAGTTAACATTTATTTATTTAAGCATATTATTTTATCTCAAGTTTTTTTTAAACAATATTTTTGGTTTACTGTCCTATAGTATACATTGAAATGATTTCAAACCTGTTTATCCCAATAATTATAAAGGAGTGCCTTGGAAATATTTGTTTACATAAATTGCATTTATCTCTCTCGCTGTTAACAGCATTCCAACTAACTGTTATTCTACGGACGAAAAGTTTATTATTCCGCCGACTTATTTTGGCCCTCTTCTCCTCCCGCATTGAACATCGCAGAAACTCCGTTCAAACATCAAAACGTTCAGCTCGGTCCGGAATCGATGGCTATTACTTTTCTCATTCATAACTTTCATAATTCCTGAGATACATCCCATAATTCATCACATTTTTAACATTTGAACTTTAACATTGCGCAGCTTGTTAAGGCAGAGTGCGTGATGTCAGAATTAGAGAGGAGGACAGTTTGAAATTTGCCTTCATATATTTTTTTTAAACTGCCATAATTCCCAAACCCTACATTCCTGAGACATAATTTTTCATGACAAACGTAGGAAAACATCCCGTAGCTTGAAAAATGACAAATAATTAAGCAGAATAATTAAACAAAATGCCTCTTGAGGGCATGAAGTGACAAAAACATTCAACATTCCTCCATTAAAGCCCATTGTAATTTCAGGCTGATATTTCCTCACGGTAGCAGCCGCACACCTTTAGTTAAACTGCCAAAAAGGCCACATTATTAACCCGAAAGTACACACAAATTACACTTCAGATACTCAACTTCCTTGACATGCTTCACGTTTTGAAATTTCACAGATATCTGTTACGGTTCTTCCACAAAACGTTCACATGTAAGAGGTTTATCATTCAGAACAATGGAAACCTGTGATCTCTGCACACCTCGTTAGCTCAAATATACACCTGTGTCATGGAACACGATGATGTCATCACTCCAACTGACATGCTCAGAGCAGCAGACTTCAGATAGCAGTGTGCTAACAGTCCAGCCGTGAAGACATCTACGGGACAGTTTTGAGATTTCTTCAAATGCCGTTGCCATGGCAACACAATGCTCGCCATGAAACACGGCTTTCTCATAACTTCAGTGAAAATACTCCAAACGCCCCAAAAC